AGACATCCCTTGAGCTCTGATTCTGTATTTCTGGGCTATTTTTGCACTTTCAGCTCCCCACCCTTCTTTTCAGCTACAAACTAAGATGGGGGTAAATTCCACTTCTCCCAGTTTCGTCAAGAAAATAGAATGTTTAATGGCATTAAATAAAGTCTCCTGTGCCACTTATCACCTCAGTAGGATGCTGGTCAGGGACTAAAGGTGCCCACCATCACGCATGAGAAGTGGATGCAGCTTGAACTCAGAAGCTGTGTCTAAACCATCAAACTCTCTCATTTGTCCTCAGCTCAACCCATAGCGACCTGGACCTGGCCTGAATTTTCAACAAGTTATCTGTCTGCTGAACAACCACAACTTTTTGCACGCTGTGGACAGGTGTTGCTCTCTAGGATAAGGGTTAACATTACACTTGAGCAAACAGGAGGTGGAGAAGCTCTTGGAACTCTGCATCCTTGGGTCTAGACATCGGCAAAATTTAAAGGGATTTTTCAGAAAATAACATGTTCTCATTAACACATTGGTTATACGACCTTCCCTGTCCACCAACAAGGAAGAACCCTGATGTCTAGAACATTAGCAAACTATATAAATCAGTCCTGAAACTGTTCTCTTCTCTTTTCTGTTTATTTGCTGGTGTTTCCTTTCACTTTTTAGTTATTTAAGGATTTCCCGCAGAGTTTTGGTTGCTTACTCATTTCCCCAGGTCCTTACATAACTGTCCCCCTTCTCTCCCCACTCCACCCTGTGTCTTCTCTTTCCTTTTAAACGCATAGATCCAGTTTCTATTACCCATGTTGTTTTGGATGTGTGGCCTTCCGCTGGCCTGCCAGGAGTTACTGTCTCAAAGAAAGCTGACTCCTTCAATCGGCAGTAGCTCTTCAGGTGGGCATGGAGCTTTATGCCTACCTACCCTTCCCATACGGAAATTTTGTCCAACTTGAGCTCAGACAGGCCTTGTGGAGGCCTTGTGATGGATTCACGTACATAGCTGCCCAAGTGTGTCTCAAAGACAGTCTATAGTCATCTACCACTTCTGGTTCTCGTGATCTTTTTATTACTGAGACTTGGAAGCTGGGCATGATACACATGTTCTGTTTAGGGCTGAGCATTCCATATTCTTTTAGGCTCCTCACCTTAACCAGCCATGGGCGTCTCTGTCAATTGTCATTTACTGCAAACAGAAGCTTCTGATAAGGGCTGAGGGGTGCATTAATCTATGAGTATAATGGTAAATTATTAGAAGTCAGTTTAATGCTATATCCATTTAGCAGATTAATAATTGTAGATTCTCCTCTGAATCTATGAACAGTCTAGCCACGGATTCTTGGTTTGTTTCCATCTCTATCCATTTAACTGACATTTGTTTGACCTTATTAGCTAGCCTTAAATCTAATCATAACATTGTTGTTTGCTCTAACAACACCCATACCATTATTGTACCAGTGGATATGTTTTATCAGGCCAGCAGTGTTATTATACCTATTAGGGTACACAGAGGTGTAAGGCTGATATCTGACCTTTCCTTTCCAGGAGCATGTACCTTATAGCACTGAGAGTGTTAACTCAAGGAGATGAATCTAGGAAGTGAGTATTTGCTTAATTTATCCATGTTCTGTGAATTCTGTGGTGCCTTTAGCAATAGGGTCTTATCACCAAGTTCTAGGGGATAAGCAATAGCATTGGCAATAACCTGTAAGATTTGGGGCTCTATGAGACCTCGCCAGCCAATAACTCCCAAATGGTAACCCATTCCTTATATTGGGCTTCTTGTTGTCCTATGGTGTCAAGCAAAGTTATTGCCATGTTGTTGCAGGATAGCTACATTTTAACTCACATAAAAGCCTCTGCAGTAGTAGATCCCATACAACTTTTTAATTAGACCTCAGTGTTCTTTATTTCTCCTTGTATTCCTTCCTCTATCATGATCTCCCACCTCCACCCTTACTTAATCCTTCAAAGTCAACATCTAGGTACAACAGTCATGCAGTGTGACTTCCCAAAAGAAATAATGTCTCTCCCCTCATCAAGGCACTTCCTGCTAGCCACTATGTCCAGTCAGATTCCCCAACAGCTTTTCTGACCAGAGACCTCTAGAAAAGGGTGGCCTTGTAGACTGACCTGTATGTGATAAACACAGCAAATTCCTTTGGTTGAGGTACCAACAAACCTGAATAAAGTCCCACAGCAACTGGCAACCAAACAAAAAGAAAGTAAAAAAAGAAAAAGAATGAGAAGAAGAAAGAAAAGAAAAGAAAAAATAAAACCAATCAGGCAATAAAGACAAGTTAAACAATTGACAAAAAATTTAATAGTTCACCGTTGTTGATTCTGACACAGGATCTGAACAAGAAATAGAAGGAAGTGAAAGGGAGACTTTTATAAATACATTAGAAATCGATATACAAGTTTCTCAGAAGATTGGGAATTGATCCACATCAACTCCCAGTTTTACCACTCTTGAGTGCTCCATCATACCACGACACTTGCTCAATTGTCCTGGAGGGGTGGGGTGCCTGTTGCCTAAGTGAACTGTAGGGGAGGAAGGGCACCAGCCTTTCAGCCTTGAACCACACAATATCTGATGTTTTGCTAGATGAGTGGCTTTGTGAACTCATGTTTCATCCACTTTCAATAAGAATGATAGGCTTTTATCATCATCCCTGGAGTGGGTTAAGTGTATTCTAGTCTGTTGTTTCTAGTTTAATCCACAGTTATGGTGGAATTCTATGAGAATATAGACCCTGGGACGCATTCCTGCCCAGTGATGGTGGAACACAGCATGCTCTCACAAGAATCTTTAGGGAAATGTAAAACCCAAACTGCAAAGTGGTATTGAAGTCCAAATAGTAAGAGAGGAAATGAATGGGCTTCCATGAGGAATGTCATTAAACTATGCAGCATCTTTCTCTTTGAGATTTAATAGGTTACTAGCCAGAAGCACCGCCTGTTCTGCCACTCTTCATTGTGGTAATACATGTATGTATTGTGGTGTAACCAAAACCAAGTGAGTCTCTAGAAAGCCTACATCTTGTTTATGGAAACGCTGGATTTATTAGACAATAATCTGTCTCTTCCATCTCCCCCAACCTCAGCATTCACTTCATTTTCTCTGTGTATGGAGTTGCCTGATGCTGTAAGTTGAGTGTTTTTCCTTGCCGTAGTCAAGATGGAAGGCAATTTTCCTTGTACCGGTAGTAAAAAGTGGGACCAGAAGGAGATAAATTGGCACCCAAACACTATCAAATTTTCCTCATTGTTTCAGATTACTTAATTTTCAATAACATGGACACCATATTTGGTTTGCACATTGATGCAATGTATTTGTGTGCTTCACATGATCCAGGAAGAATTATGTGACAATTGTTGACCTCGTAGTCTATGCTACCAACTGTGTGCAAAATCTAAACTTAATCAAGAGTTTTTTTTTTTTACATGATTGGGTATTTAAGTTAGATGGAGTAACACAGTGTTATTGCCATTGAACATTGAATGCCTTCCCTGAAATTTATTCAACATCTGTGGAATAGTGTCTGTCTCTGCTCCATCATGAGCTCTGACTCATCTGCTCATTATGACTCTTCCTTGCATCAACCCATGTCAGACACATGATATGTCAGGTCAGCACAAAGAATCATCATCATTATCTACTGTGCCCCAGAGGAGTCTACTTGTTGTCTGTCTGCAGACGCTGTACATCTGCCTGTCCAGATACCCTTCATCTCAGATGTATTTGCTTATATGTAATATATTTGCATTTGCAGAGACCCACTTTTCTATATGGGTATAAAATTTACTATATGGATGTATGTATCCTGCCATCTCTGTAGGTACTTCCATGTTGCTTAATAAAAAACTAGCTATGATAACAACTAGCTTAATAACAAGTACTACAAGTACTTAATAAACAACTCTCTATCTATGAGTTAGTTCACAAGATAATTTCCTCTCAGGCAGCAGTTTACTTAGATTTTCCTTTTCCAATTTTTGCACCACATGAACAGGCATCTTCATCAACTGGAGATGGTGTTGCTACAGAGACTTAAAGTCTCATCTTAGATGGCTTCAGGAATCAAATCAACTTCTCTTGCAACTATTGGTCTCTAGGTGTTGGAGTTTTTCAAGCAAAACATGGGGACAAGTAAAGTTGAAAGATCTAATGTTCGCTTGTCATTTCTACGCCCTGCTTATACTGAGGCTATTGTTCACATTAGGAGGGTAGCTGGCACCACCCTCCCTCTGGCTTCCCAATTAGAATGAACACCTTCATTTGAAAAGTTCATAAAAGTCAGCTCACCATCTACACATTCTTTCCTGTGTATTCATGAACAGGCAGAATTTGGGGACAGTTACAATATGAAGAAATAGACATAACCAAGACAGGATGTAGAGAAATCAAAGAAGTTAAGAAGTAAAGAGAAAAGTTGTTTAGGGTCTAAGGAGTGGAGGACTCACTACCCGAGCCTGACTCATATCCATTGGTTCCCACTGCTTGGACAACATTTGTCTTGGCTTCCTTTTCCTTAGATGTTGGTCCTACAGGACACGTGTGAGCCAAAGAATGCCTAGAGTATGGTCCTGTGGAACCAGAAGACCTTCAGAAGTCTTGCTGTTTCAGCCATCCCCTCCACCTTAAACCCCAAGGTCTGTTTGCTCTGTAGAGTATGACCTCAGTTGTGAGAAGGGAGCAAACATCACATTCCCCATACCCAAGCACAGCCTCTGAGTCTCCTACTCCCATCGTCCTGGAAGGACTCTATGCAGATAAAAGAAAGTAAGGAGGAAGATCAAATTCTGGGAGGACAATAAGGTCTTGGAGTGTAGCAGTGCTCCACAGTAGAGTACCAATGGCACTGTAGACTATGAGAAGCCATGTGAACACCATTCTCTTTATTAGCCACCACAAAGCTTCCAACATCTTAGTTGCCCATGTTACCATCACCAAATTTAGTGACCCATGTAGCTGTCCTCTGCTTGTGGTTGGTGGGTTGCTCCACTCAGTCATGAGCTTAATCACTTCTTGAGCATGAGTCCCTCAGTTGTTTTGTTCATGACTCGGGCCTCTTGTGGGTTCAGTGTACAACCTACATTAGACTTTTCAGTCTATATGCGGACCCTCCATGGCAGTTGTCCCTGCACATACTTCTTTGTTGAAGGGTAAGAGCATCTTGAGCTCAGCCATCATCAATGGAGACAGGGAAGGGAGTTCATGAGTACTCTTAGCCTCTGGCCACAAGAGAGTGTGTTTATCATTTGCAAGTGTTCTGGGCTATATGCAAAATGAAAAAAAAAGGAATCGAGAACTAGATTGGCCATTGATTTGGCACCACCTGTTAAAGAATTTCAAAAGAATTTCCATTTCCTTGCAATCCTGTGTGGGTTCTGGGTAGTACCATTGTTCCAGGTAGAGGTCTCATCACTGGATCTGATTCTGAAATTGGAGGCTGTGGTGTGTTATATCATAATGTATATATGTTTCTACTTTAGCATAAGCTATTGTACCTATGCAGCTCATTTAAAAATGTAAAGTTCTAGTCCTTGAAAGCTATTATTGCAAACTGCTCAGGATAATTCAGAAATGCAGGTTAGTATTTAAATAACTGTTGCATCTCTGAAGGGAAAGGTGTCCTAGCAGTAGAAACACAAGACTACCTACAGCTCAGAAGGGTAATGTGTCCCAACAGGAATGTCACAGCTCTGCTTCAGCAGGCAAAGAGTTACAGCCCTTGCTCTGGGAATGTTTTCCCTAGTGTAAGTTTAACAACCCTATTCCAGGAGTGGAGGGTTTCCCCAGTGAGGTTGTTACAGGTCTGTTCTGATCTTCTCTACTCTTCTCTGCTCTGGAGAAATGCTACAGCTCTGCTCAGCTTTTCCAGAGTGTATCAATTCTGCTCCAGCAGGGGAAAGTTTCCCCAGACAAGCGTTACAGATCTGACCTGCTCCTGCTCTGTTTTAGCAAGAGTTGTTAGAGCTCTGCTCTGCTCAGGTGACAGTCGTTGCACCTCTGCTTCACTCCAGTGAAAGAAAGTTCTTACAACAAACCTCACTCAAAAGATTTCTTGGGAGGTAAGAATCCAGGAGAGTAGCTGTCTCTGCCAGGGTCAAAAAGGGCTAGTCCCAAACTGAACAGGAAGAGGGCTTATATAGTATTTATTAGGAGCAGGGCTTTCCAATGTGGAGATTTTTAGGGTGGAATTTAGTAGGTCTCAAATGGTTGGATTTGTGCTCAGAAACTGGTTGGTTTTGTCCTCAGAAATTGGTTGCTTTTTGTGCTCAAGGATTGATTTATTTTGATTCCTGAGTTGGTTAGAGGCAGAGTGTGTTGTTACCTTGGCTCTGGTCTCAGGGACAGGGTATTCTTTCACTGGCCCTTACCTTACAAGTTAGTCATCTATAACAATAAGACTTGTAGTCACGTGAAGAATGTTTTCATATTTTAGATAGATAGCCTTTAGGATGTTTTAATAACAAGGCTTTTCACGACAGTGAGATACATCTGGCAGCACCCATCTACTTCAAAAAAGATGATGGGCATCAGAGAACTTACATACAGAGTTCGCTGCCAATATGGCAAAGCCAGCCACTGGACAAGAGACTGCCCTTGCCTCAGCTACCGACAGCATCCTGCTCAAATTGAAAAGCAGGACATAAAAGAATTTAACTACTAAACTTTGCCATAGACCAAGTAGTCCAGTCTGTCAAAATTTCTGCTTCACATAGAAGTTTATCATATATTCTAGGCCTAGAGGCCAAAGATGGATGCCCCAACATTTCAGAGACAACCTTGGGAGACTGTCCAAGCAGACAGTTGTCTCTGTCATTTCTATAGTTTTTGAAGTTGCTTGCTCTGCCCTTCCTGTTTACTCAGATAATATTTTTACCCTTCTCAAGTCTCTGATGAAGTTAAAGACTAGATCATTATAGTTTTACAATTTCTTTGTTACCAAATTCAGGAAATAAATTTACAAAAGAGATGTAATGTTTATAAAGGTTGAGAGACATAAAAACTTAATTTGTTTATTTACGAAATTTTTTAGAGTCTAAAAGGATATATTTAGCCTCATAACACAAGATATGATAGAAAGTGGTTTGAGTATAAAACTTTGAACTGACCAAAATAGAATAAATAATAGAATACTTTCTCCAAAGTTTCCAAATTCAAATAGACTGAACATTGTGAATGTAATTCTTACCTGATAATTATTCTTATTGTATATAATCTTACTGTGTTAGAGTCAAAACATTTCCTTTTTATTTAGACAGAAAGGAGGAAATGTGGGATATTTGATCTCACTCTGAAACCCAAGACTGTGTTAATAAAATCAGCCTTGGGTCAGAGTTTGCAGTCAATAACTAGTTGACAGGAATTAGCCAGAGGAGCCAAGAAAATAGATAGATACAGAGGAAGTTGGAGTTTAATGGTCTTTATGGTTTGGGACAAGTGGAGAAAGGTTCTCTTGCCGAATCTGCAGCCAAAAAGAAAGATCACCTGGTTGCTTCTCAGCCCTCTGAGCTAGCAGGTTTTCACCCCAACATCTGATTCCCAAGTCTTTATTGGTAAATAGAATGATAAAGACTTAATTAAAAACTACATTTGGTAGCAGTAGCATGGCTAGTGCCAGCAGGACCAGAGTCCCTCTAGGCCAAGGCTTTAGTGGCAGGGAGCTGACTGTGGGGCCCTTAGGCCACAAAAGGTGGTTTAAATAGCAGTAGATTCAGGTGTAGCCAATATGCCAACAGGAAAACAGCATTCACCTAGAACTTTCAGTTCATGAGGATAAACAAAATGTTGTGAAGGGTATGCTATAAAATTCTGGGGCCACTGTGGATGGACAGCATGGTTAACCTGTAAATTGGTGTGGTCTCTTGCTCTAGCCAGAATCTCAACAGGCTTACCAGCAAACCACTGAAGAAGAAAAGATCTTTGACATTATGTCAGCAAATCCTCTACGCACACATTTCCAAAATAGTAATTAACCCAGGAAAAGACTATCTTAACCACAAACAAGTTCCCCGGTGGTCTTGTCAATGTTGAGTCATGATACAAACATATAGTCTCATTTTTCAATGGCCAGTAGATAAGAAAGGACTCTGTTCTCCCCCATCACCCTGATATATAGTGATATTTCATTCATGTTTTTATAAATAAAGCTTGTCTGAATATAGAAGGGCAAAGTGAAGCCACTAGAGGTCAGACAGTGGTGGCTCACACCTTTAATCCCTTGATTGGGAGAGAGAGACAGATGGATCTCTGTGAGTTCCAGGCCACCCTGAGCTACACAAGATCAACACAGAAACAGACCCAGGTAGTGGTGACTCACACCTTTAAACCCAGTACTATGGAGTCACATGCCTTTTATCCTAGCACTAGAGGGCATACAAAAGAGTGAGAGGCTCAGTCTGTTTAGTCTGTTTATTCTGTGGTCACCTGGCCTTGGTAGAGGTAAGACTTCTCTAGTGACTTGGCTGCTTTGCTTTTCTGGCTTTCAAGTTAAACCCCAATACCCGCCCCTGGGTTTTTATTATGCATACTACACTGATGCACTATTCTTCCTCCAGAAGACGGTGGCTTTGGCTAAGAAGTGCCATTCTCCTTCTCCATGGCATTGGAAACACAAACCGGGTGGCTGTTCTCCATTAAGAAGAACAAAGCACAGCACACTCTCCAAAGACAGGAAAAGGCTAAACGCTGTTGCACATTCCCCTTCCAGGGGAACCCTGCATCACTCTGCAGGAAGACTCCCTCATCCTCCTCACGGAAAACCTTGGAGAACTGATCTATGCACATTACCCATCTTCCCTCAGATTTCCCTCGTTTCTCTTCTGAAATCTGGCTTTTTTCACTTCTTGCCACTAGATGGCAACCAAGAGCAGGAACACCTGGCCCCAGCACTTACCCACCCACAGGTCTGTGCTCTCCAATATTGAAGGGTCTAGTTCCAGAACGTGACGCAAGTGTTCATTTGGGAGGAAGAGAAGCACAAAAATTCCTCCAAGATCTGTTTTTAATTACACCTAGAAGAAAGCACCCTAAGGCCAGGGCTGGCCATAAACTCAGCCTCTGAATCCCCTGAACAGGAACTTGTCCACCAAACAGTTCTGGAGGATGGAAATCTGGGACACTGCACTCGCTAAATACTTTCTGTTGCTTTAAAACAACCTCTGGCTTCTGTCCTCTTGGTATCTGTGTGTGACTTGAATACACACAAGGCTTGAATGTGGACACCAGTCTTCCTCAGTTTGGTTGAGCACAGACTGGAAAGAGAGTACAACTCCTTGCTCCCAGCAATGTCTAAATCTGAACTGGAACCAGGCAGGTGGTCATTAAGGTGAACTCAGAAGACATGGTCTTCTCATTTGGTGTTGAGCGTTGGTCGCTTGCTATAGATACTTGTATGGCAATGTTAGCCTCCCTTTGTTTGCTTGCCCAAGGTTCAGAGAGTGACAGAGCCTACAAAAAACACAACCAAGTCCCAGCACACTTTATCTGATCACCAACATCTGATGCTACCAGGGCACCCTCTCCTCCTCCTGACCCTGACATTGCAGGCTGGGGGCAATGCTACCTGTCCCTCCTCCTGTCCCTGACTTGCCTACACTGTCTTTTACTGACTTGGTCGCTGGCTGATCTTCTATTCACTGGGTTCTCTCCAGCAGCCCCTGAGCTATCTAAGCACATGTGAAAGCGAGTCAGAGCTGCACTGCACTTTGGACCTGGTGGGTCTCCGGGCTCCCAGTTTT